TATAAGGCAGATGTTTCCGTCAGATATTCTGCTTGGTTTCTTACTGAGATTTTTATATAAAAAACATAAAATGTTTGTCAAAAACCTGAGTTGCCATATTTTATTATCTTGTATTTGTTTTTAAAATGTACTTAGTTGTAAACCATTGCTTATAGATGCAGCCCCATGATTGGTATTTCTTTAAAGTCTTTACATGTTCTACAGGTGTTCTTCAGGGGTGTAGAAAGGGGGGAGAGGGTCAATCCTTTCACCTGGCCCACTGTACTCTACAGTTGCACACAGTCTAACTTCTTTCCTAAGCAAACAAGTTATACTATAAGTATAAAATTGAAAAAAAAAAAAGAAGAAAATCTCTAAAATCTTTATGCTTTGGTATATAACTCCTTTTATTTTCCAGCTAAACACTGCTAGCATATTGCTAATATATGCCTGTTTTTTCATATGAAGTTCCTGAATGTTTTTTTTCCTTGTTCCGCGTGTCGTTGGGGTAAAGTAGTTTAGAAGTCTCATCTCAGTCTCTGCTTTGTAAGGCTGAGCAAGCTGAACTCTGTAGGTTTGGTCATAGTAGACTGCGTTTTGTTGTTTTGTTTTTCATCAGTGCATTATCCTGATTCTTGGTAACATTTAGAACACTTCTCTGTATCTGTTACCATTTGGAGTTCTGTTTTTTTATTTTGTCTTTGTTTTTTGGGTGGGATTTCGTGTGTGTGTGTTAACACACCACGCAATTCAGGTGTTTCTCAGGAGTTTGCAAAGGGTCTTCAGCCAAGCTGCAGCCAGCTGTGCCTGTTTGTATGATGAAGAGCGAACTTAACTGCGTGGTTTTGGTTCCCATCTGAAAACGTGATTCGATGTGAAATGTTTTCAGTTTTATGATTTAATGTGGTCATCCTAACAGGGATGTGTGGTTGCACATTCATTCACCACTGCCTCTTCATGTCTCCATGGTCTTGATGTCTTGGAGATTCTTAGCAGTGCCTACATAATCATCACAAACACCAGCTCAAACACTCCAATCTTCAGGGCTTCAGCTCCCCCCATCTTCCTCACTTGCCTTGGCCTGCAGTTCAGAGCAAAGGGCCCATGTTGCCCTTGCAGGTTTTGGCAACATCTTAAAGATACTGTGCATGCTTCTCTTAGTAGATTCCTGGTCCCAGCTATGTCTGTCACACTCCATTACCTCCTTCAGTTCTAAAAAATTCTCTGTTTCAGGCATGGTGTTTTTATCTACTACAATGTGCTGGTTTAAACACCAAGTGTACCTGTGTAGCACTGCATACATTTCTTTCCAGATTATGATGTTTCTACCAGAAGTCCTCTAACGGCTATCTCTGATTTAAAATCCTTTCTCAGTTTTTTAGCTCTTATCCTTTCAGGCTCTGCGAATAAAGTCCAAAAGAAAAATATAATAAAAATAAATGTCTCTCTGGGAGTCTTCAGATAGCTGTGTTTAAAAGCTAGAAACACACCACTGATGCCAAACAACTGGGGAAGAAAAATATGGTTTGAAATGGCCGTAACTTCACAGGGCAGGAATAGATTTTTGGAAGTGAGTGCACCATCAGCTTGGGCTCAGAGCGGTTCAGGCTGAGACTGGCACATTTCTGCCTTCCCTCTTCTGCCCCTTGGGTGGATTTTCCGCTTGTAAGATGCTTCAAATTCTGATTTGAGACAAAGTCTTCCAAGGCCAACTAGGAGCTTAAGTCACATTTTTAAATGAGCTCTCTAAGGGCAAGCATGTAGTGCTCAAAGCTGACACCAATCCTCTACCCTGACTTTGTGATGTACATTTTTCAGCATCTCACAACCACTTCGTGAAACCCACAACCTCAAGATATGGCCTTGATATAGAAATGATGAGAGGTGGTCAGTGGCCTGGGCTAGGCCGGTTATAATATTCTGGGTTAGTTTGCTGATACCTGCTGCATTAAAGACTAGAGCTCTACTGGTACAGCATGACTAGAATAGACTTCACAGGTACTGCGTGAGGGAATTAGGTTGTTCAGGATCTGATGAGCAAATCAAACCAGAGAAGAAAGTAGAGATGAAAAACAAATACAACAAAATTAGAATGCATTTGCATGGAATGCTAACTATAATTTGTCACATGTCAACGTTTGTAAAGTTTCCTCCTTTTATTTAGTGTTCATAGGCACCTAAGGACTTCCTGGAGGTGGGGACTGGTGAATGTAGGCCCCATATGCACTGTCAGTGTGCACCTGTGTCCTCAAAATTAACATCTCCAACTGGCAAACTAAGACATTTTGTAGGACAAAAAAAAGCTATCTGAGGGCTGTGATCTCTATAACATATATTTACACTGGGAATAAGCATGATTTCAGCTTGGGAAATACTGGCCTTTCTATCAAGCATGACAAGACAACACTGTTACTGCAGCCACGTTGAGCTCCTCTGGGCACTCTCCGTCATGGTGTTCAGCAGTGCTCACATCGGGCTCCAGCGAAGGCTTCGCACACAGTGCAGCCCTTCCCCGGCGCAGTCAGCCGGGGGCGACGGGACGAAGCTCAACTAGAGCCAGAAAGCAGAAAGCTCTACCACGTATTGCAGGGCAAATTGGGCCCTCCCTCACTGCGAAACCACACGAAAGGAAAGAGCAGAAGTTGAGACATTTTTTAAACACAATTCCTTTGCCTGATCACATAACGAGTGAGCACTGATGGTTCATTTGTGTCACGTACTGAGGATGTAATTGAGAATAATACAAATATGTCAAAGGCACCAGTCCTTTGGACAGTCAGACGACTTAACCCTTCAATTTTGTTCCTTCCTTTTCTAGATTTTGAAGTGATGTACACACACTATATGATTTGTATGACAACACTTATTAAAATGAATGAATAAAAAGGAATACATAGAAGATCTGATCAGCCAGTGAGCATATTCATGAGACTCCAGCACCAATTTCAGTACCTAAACTTAAAAAATGTTAAAATTAAATAGTCGTTCCTGTTTCAGTGCCCAAAGCAAGCAGAGATCTGGAATGTGACTTTCTTTTGAGACAATGATAGTTTCACTCTGCTCTTTTTATATAAACAAGAGCTAAGAATTGCTCAGTAATATATTGCTTATTTAACTCTATTCACCCAGGATTTTTCAGGCTAAGTAAACAGGCAATATGAGGCTATTAAAAAAAATTAAACTGATGCTAGAACTTTTAAATAATTTGGAATTTAGAGCTCTCTTCTGCTCTCAAGCTTCTGTCTTGTGTACATAGGAAATATTCCTTCTGGAAAGCCTGAATCTAAGTGGAACAGCAACCCCGGGCCCGCTCCACAGAGAGCAGCCAGGTTGTCCCCTGAATGGGAGCACTTTGCTTGGGGGACCCAGGGCGAGAGCAGAGGAAAGGAGCCTCCAGCATAGGCAATCATCTTCTGTGCCACTCAACCCTTGCCTTCAGCTGGATTTTAAACCTTTCCTTCTGATCTTAAGTCCCTCCGTTACAATTTGTGCCTTTTACTTTCTAGGCGACCATGTCTTTTAACCAATCTGCTACCTCCTTTGCTTAATCTAGTTTTGTTGTGTTTCTATCTTTGGAGATCAAAAATGTTTTCAGTTTTCTGCTTAATTTCTTTTTCATATAAAATCTTGAGATTTTTGTCCTGCAGTCAAGCTTTGGCAGCAATACCTTATTTGTGTTAGCTTGGAGCTAAAAGACCATGGAGCTTCTTCAAAGAGTATCCAAGGAAAAGGAAGGGCAACTGCTGTGCCGTGTAACACATCCACAAAGTGTTAGTATTACAGACATATTGCTAGCTCCATCTTTCTGCATGAACAAAACACTGGCTAGTTAATATTATAAATTTGTAATGAAATCACATAGTATTTTATTATATTTTCAGAATTAGGAAAGTTTTGCTTTTGACAGCAGCAACAGAATCAAAGTTTCAATAATAACTTCTTGAGGTGCACTTAAGTGGTATTTGCTACTATGATTAAATGCTAGAGTGGCAATAAACTGAAATGGAATAATTCATCGTAAGTGACCAGAAGGGCAGGCAAGCAAACCCTGCTCCCCACTGGATGTGTAGATGTGTAGTACTGAGACACTATGAGACAGAGAAATAAAGTCATTCTGTCCTTTCAAATGACTCTCTATTTTAAGGAAATGGTATGTTCCTTTTTTGTTTATTTATTTATTATTATTATTTACTTATTTCACTTCAGGATTTCCCGTCTTGATTCACTTACCTCCTCTCTTGGGATTTGCAAATTTTATTTCTTGAGATAATTGGAGTGCTCAAAGATAAAGCTGCTGAATACAGATTTTTTTTCCCCAGCTTCTTTTTTTTTTCACCCCCTTCTCAATTTTTCTCAACTTTTATCACCTTTTTTGTCTTTGTAAGAAAGGGAAGAATAGAAAAGTGCAGGACAGTGGGTTTTTTTTAAGAAGATAATTCTATTACTTGTCTTTCCCTTCAAGGGTATGAGGCTCAAAACAGTTCTGCAGCAACTCAATTTTAGGTCCCCAACAGAAACAGATGGTGTGGAGCCAAAGTGCAACACACCTTTCTCACCAAGATTTGCTCTATACTTGCCCAGCAGTAAAATATCATCTCTTCTTGGTGTGATCTTGCAAGGCTGGAGATACTATAATATAATGAGAAATATTAAGTACATTTCAATAACCTGTTAACGACCAGAATCAAAAACCTGAATAAGCAGCTTGTCTGACT